CTTGCCATGAGTTATGCTATGGTGATGATAATATGCCTCTATGAGCATTTGATGAATATTCTATTTACTTTTGAAACACTGGTTCTTCTTTTAGTCTGATAACTACTCTTAGAGCAAATTAGCTCTAAATAATGGTAGCTGGTTTTAGAGCTATTTATATGAATCTTATCTCTAACAACAAGAGCGAAAAAGGTCCCAGCACATTTTCAAGCTGCCATTTCAATTGTCCAATTTAAATTTTCTGTGAGGAGTTATCAAAGATGTCATTGAACAAAATAACTAACTAGTAAAGTAATGTCATTTAAATCAAGTCAAATTTTTAGATAATCCGTAAATGTAATATATTTGAATATAAATTAACAGATTAGATACCAACCATTAATTTACATAATGATTTTTAACTACTAAACGACACAAAATGGTTATCATTGTTCCAGTGTGGATGGCTTTTACTTTTACAATGAACAACTTCTAATGCACTGATCATAAAATAAATCATAAAGAAAATTTTCAATTACGTTAGCTCCATACATTAATGCAAAGTTTAAAGATAGCAATAACTAATTAAATCATGACTATTGAATTTGAAATCCATTTGGATCATCTGTTAATTTAAAAAATCTTTTAACGGCAACATAAATAGCTTTAACTGCTATGAATCAGGTACCGGTACATTTTTTTAACTTTGGGAAGTTAGACTTTTTATTAAATAAGAAAGGGTTCGTTCACAAATTATATCACGAAGACGGGGGTGGGGGTTTGTTGAGAATTTGTGACACTTGTGAAGGGGGGAGGAGGGGTCAAAATTTTATGACATCACAAAATAATTTTTTTTTAAAGATCTAAAAAATTTTAATTTTGAAAATTTTTTATTCATTTAATTTAAAAAATATTAATTTGAAGTTGATATTGCCTCAGGTAATATTACCGTGAAACTCAGACATGCACACCTTCTGTGTGTATCAAAAAATGCCGCAAAAACTGTTGTGGCCATTTTACATTCGGGGAGGACTTGGTTGTTTTGCATTTTATGTCAGTTTCCTAATAATACTACATCTTGATCCATTATAGGAAAATGTTAAAGAATAAAACAAAATCTTATTTAGTTATGAAAATTTTATGTATGTTTTGAATTTTTTTTAGATGTAACATGACACGGAGGTGGGATTTGTAACAATTTGTGACAGGGATGCAGGGGGGGGGGGGGGGGGGGAGAGGTCATTTTTTGCGTGACGTAATTTGCGAACGACCCCTTGCAAAGCAAACCCACAAGAGTTTGTCTTTTGCATCTTTTGAGACATCCATATTATATAGGCACTTTGATGAAAATCTCAAAACATTTTTAAAAATATTTAAACACTACAGCTGTATAGAGCCTGGAGAATATATTAAAGAAACACCAAGATAAACTTTCTAGCTCAAGTGGTTCAAAAGTTATGAATTTTTTAGTAGAGGCCTCATAACCACTTTTTCACTGCACATTTCAAGACCATCATTTTGCTTTTTTTTTTCAAATGCCTATAACTTTATTATAAAATGAGACAAAAATATGATATTTACAGGGAACATAGTTAATAAGAGTAGCTCTAAATAAAGCCAAAAATAAAAGTTAAACATTCCGCAAAACCATTAAAATAATTTTTTTTATTTTCCTGTTTAAAAAAAAAAAAAAGTGTGTAAATTATGCTGATTCCTCACTTATTTGTAATAATTAATTTTCTTAAAATATTCTGTTTACATTTCCAAAAAATAATAGCAAGAATAATATTCTAAGCTATTAATTTCAAAATTTCTGTGGAATTGTGTAACATTTATAAGTATAAACAAATAAAAGGATTATTTGTTTCATTTAGTTAAAATTGACGATTACACTTTTTATTTTACCATTTTCTTTATACATGTATGTCTGAATAACTTAATATGACAAAAAATATTATGTCATTTATTTTCACAAATCAACATGTATTGATAGAATCAACTTTGGCGGTTGATAGAAATTAAAACAAGTTCTAGTTATTTGCTTGAGATAAAAATCTTGGATTATAGTGGCAGGAAGTCAGGAAGTGTGTTTTATCTTTTAGAATACCAGTTATTAATTATGTGATTAAATATAGGATATTTCAATATTAAAGGTGAGTGAATATTTTTTTTTACATTTTTACTTAATCTATGAATCTATGCCTTAAGAATCATAATATTCATTAAAATATCATTACACAGAACAAATAATGGGTCCCACAAATAATGAGTTGGGGTGGGGCTAGGCCTATACTTAAAATACTTTACATTTCTAGTCCTATAGTTATAGGCCCTTTATATATATCTGTATATATCTATATATAATATCTATATAATATCTATATAATATCTATATAATATCTATATAATATCTATATCTATCTATATCTATCTATATCTATCTATATCTATCTATATCTATCTATCTATATCTATCTATATCTATCTATATCTATCTATATCTATCTATATCTATCTATATCTATCTATATCTATCTATATCTATCTATATCTATCTATATCTATCTATATCTATCTATATCTATCTATATCTATCTATATCTATCTATATCTATCTATATCTATCTATATCTATCTATATCTATCTATATCTATATATATACACACCCAGGAGCTGGTTAATCGTCTATCACACGCTTGTAGAGAGTTTGCACTTTTGATTAGTCTACAGAAAACACATGTAGTGATGCAAGAAGCACCATGCCCTCCAATCAAATCTATTGAGGGTCATAATCTTTCGGTTGTTGAGCTTTTCACATATCTTGGATGCAATATTTCTATTTCTCTCTCCGTTGAAGAAGAGATAAATATCAAGATCGCAAAAGCAGCAGCAACTATGGCTACACTGAAAAAGGGGGTGTGGAATAATCTCAATCTAACTGATAAAACAAAAATAAGTGTCTATCAGGCATGTGTGCTTAGTACGCTCCTATATGGTAGCGAAGTGTGGACCACATAAACCAGTCAGGAGCGGAAACTCAACAGCTTCCATCAAAGATGTCTGCGTCCCATTTTTAATTTTTAGCATTCGATGGCAGGACAAGGTGCCTACCACAGAGGTCTTGCAACCTGCACACATGTTTAGCATATTCTCCTTTCTTAGCAAGAGGCACCTTTGCTGGTTAGGCCATGTAAGGAGAATGGAGGAAGGCTGTATCCCAAAGATGCTGCTGTATGGAGAGTTGGCAGAAGGGACAAGACTTATTGGACGGCCACGCCTGAGATTTATGGACATTTGCAAAAGGAGAATGAGGGAAGCCAGTATTGAAAACAACGAATGGCGAACAGCAGTGTATGAAGTAGTAAAAAAGACAGAGATATGCAAAACAAGGCCTTTGCAACAAAAAGAACAATACGGAAGTCAAAATCTTACGAGGAATCAATATTCTCCTGCGAGAAATGCAGTCGAGATTGTCATTCTAGGATTGGCCTAGTGAGCCACTCGTCCAAGTGTAGGACTTCATAGCTACTCCATTGCCTATAGAAGATGGGAGGATGCCATATAATAATAATATATATATATATATATATAAAGGGCCTATAACTATAGGACTAGAAATGTATAGTATATATACATATATATATAAATATATATATATATGTATATACATATTATATTTCATTGTAATAATAATGAGGCAGTCGGAAAATAAAAACGACTAAAAAGCAATCTTATTACCCAGTATTTTTAATTTTTTCATTACTTTCAATTAATGGTTCTAGATGCTTAAAAAAAAAAATCGGGCTTTAAATATGTAAACTTTTAAGCAAGTGCACCAATTTTGGAACTTCTAGGATTATTAGTTTAGTAGTTATGGTTCCACAAAAATGGAGGATTTAACAACATGAAAAAAGCCAATTTTGTATCGATTTTTATCAAATTTTAAAACTTCATAACTTTTTTATTTATTGAGCTATTGTAAAAAACCAGGTATCAAAATTCTTGTATTAAAAATGTCTATTAAGTGAGTGTCTTTAAAATAGTCTAAATTTAAAAATAAATTTTGATTTGGACTACCGGTACCTATTAAAAACATCAAAACAAGCTAAAAATCTAAAAAATATGTATTTATGTTGTTAAATATGTATCTGTGTTATTAAATTATTTTCATTGCTTTTCATGTGACATCACATTGCTCACAAGACCCCCCTCGTCACAAAAATGTGACACCCCTCCGTCCTAGATGTTGACGTCATTTATGGATGGCCCCTTACTTAAGGCTTAAGGGTTTGTAAAGGACAGACTAGTGGACATAAGGAATTTTTGTAGTTTGGGGGAGGGGGTGCAGAGATTTGTTATGTTATATTTGAGGGGGAGGGGGAATAATGCTTTGTGACGATTTTTGAAAATGGGGAAGGGGTGGTCCAAAATCTGCGTGACATCGTTTATGGCATGGGTCATTATTGACATTTCATTATCAATAATGTAAAAAAAAAGTCAAGTAAGACCAGTAAGACTAGTGGACTAGTAAGAGTAAGTAAGAAGTATGAATGTCAGTTTCAAAAACTACAAAAACTTAAGTCTGAACACATGATGAATGAAGTTGTTAAAAATTAGGTTATAATTGTCCACGAAGTATACATAATATTTGGTCAAATCAAACATAACTAAGACTAAGCATTCGCTGACTACAATTACTAAGTATTCACTATGATCAAGGCCAAGGTTATTCCACTTTGAAAACTTCCATTTTGTTTAGACAATTTGTCGGGAGAGTCAGATTTTCATCAAAAGAGCAGATACACACAGTAAGGGTTATTTTTTTGATGATATGTAAAAAAAAACAAAACAACAATATCTAATTATTTTTTATTTAAAAAATACCACTTGTTTTTATTAAATAAAATATTTTAATCTCCATAAATAGCTAAAAAGATAATTATTTTCTGTCTTTTCAAAGCATAATATCATTTCTTAATAATGATTTAATAACCAGGCTTAACGGCATCTAGATTAATATCCATAACCTTTGAACCTACACTACACCAACCAGCAGACTAAAATACTAACGCTGTTACTGTGATTAAACAAAAGCATAGATAAATAATGCCTCTTCGCGTTTACTACGATCTTCTTTCTCAGCCTTCAAGGGCTCTTTTTATGTTTCTGAGAATTAACAATGTTCCTTTCGAAGGAAAGCCAGTTGCTTTAAGAAAAGGTTAACCACTAGCCATTACCAGTTACTAACAAAACATTTATTTAATTAAATTATTAATTAAATATTATAATTATATTATATTATTAATTGATAATATTATTAAATCAGGCAATTTAATTCAGTTTATTCTGGATGAGGAGGTTGTCGTAAATAATTCAATGTGGACTGCCTCGTGAAAACTTGTGAATTATAATTTTAAAAATATGTCCAATTTAGTTTTGGGTGGGTTTTAAACTGCAGTCATTATCATTATCCTTACTTACACTTACACTAAATCTATTAGACTTAAACATCCCTAGGACTTGGCTACTTTGTTAAATTCCGGTTTTATACTTATTATACTTTAAAATTAAAGTAGTAAAATTTTCAGAAAAAAAAGAGGAGCAGAAGAATCATAATGTATTCTGATTTATTTTTTTTTAATTTTAAAATTGGGAATTGAAAAATGATTAAAGATGATTTTCTGAACTCAATCTCTCACTCCAAGGGCATTGAACATGATAAAAAGTCATTTAAGAACCATTTAAAGACTTTTTCTTTAAATAGAGTTTAGGACATCAGAGCGCTGTGAGTGTGAGCATTCTAAAATAACATGGACGCAAGCGCTATAAAAGTACGCAATCAGTCAATCATCATCATCGACATGAAGTAAAACAAGTCTTAATATATTCTGTGTGTGGGTGGGGGGAGGTTAAGGTTAAATTACAAATGCAGTCTAATTGAAATTATAATATAGGCATAACCCCTCTCAAATTGCATCATTAATTTAAAGAGTAGGTCATCAGCATAAAACGTAAATAAAGCAACTATTATTAGATTTTAAAGTAATGAATGTGAAAGTTCCTTATAGTTCTCTGATTAACCTGCCTAAGGCCTAGCCCTCAAATTATTTTCAATCCTAAGACTTAGGCAGATCAATCATAGAACTATAAGGAACTTTCACCTTCATTACTATCTATATGTTAAATTAAATCCCTAAAATTATAATAATATCTTTGAATGGTTCTATAAAGCACTTGGTGTTTGTATTGGTGCATCTGCTTTCATAGAATATTATGATAATTATAAAAGATGTAGGCCTTTATAAAATGTTAAGCGTATTAACCAGCAAATTGGGAAAAGGCAAAGGACAAGTATTTTATTAAAACCTGTGAATTTTGTTGCTAACAAGAGCCATATTAATTGCTATGAAATTAAAATTTTATATTTTTAGGTGAGCATTTTGGTGACGAATACAAAAAGATAAATCCTTTCTCTCTTGTACCAGCCGTAGAAGATGATGGATTTCGACTTACAGAAAGGTTTATTAATACAGAATTATAATACTTTTTAGCCTAATTAGATAACTTAGTGTATCAATTGATTAATTAAAGGCAAGATTACACATGTTCATATCACAAATAATAATTCACTAACGATGTGTTCAATAGGTGCTCAAAAGAAAATTCCCAGAAGCTAGCACTAATTTGGATTCTTATAAGTGTGTTAATTGAATGAATGTTTTGTCAAGTAACTTTAGTAGATAGAAAGTTCTTGCATTGCAGACACAATAGTTTTGTGGGTTATTTCTAGTATTTGATATTTGTTTATCACAACAATTTTTTTTTCCTTTTAGTATTGCCATCCTAAAGTATGTTTCTCGTAAATATGACCTGGGCGACCACTGGTTTCCTCAGCACAACCTGAAAAAGCAAGCTAGAGTGGAAGAATATCTTAATTGGCATCATACAAACACTAGAGGATTATGTGCACTACTTTTCCAGCACCTGGTACTGCTTTTGTATTTTTTATATTGCATGTAAAATGTTAAATTTCTATAAGCAAAAAATCTATTTAATTAATTTTTTTAACTATCAATATAATATAATAAAAACCCAGTGTAAATTGAAAGGCTATTGCTGACTTATTTATAAGGAGAAATAATTAGTGGCAATATTTATAAACTAAAAAGTCAACATATTTTAATTGTAGAAAAGAATTTACTAGTATTTGCTATGGTATGAATTACCTAAAATATGCAGATCAAGTTATGATTTTGAACTTTATAATATTATCAACTTTCAGCTTATTCCAGTAAAATTATGATCTCCACTTAAACATCACAAATGAATGCAATATGAAAAGTCTGAAATTGCATTGATATTTTTAAGCATGCTTAAATCATTAAATAAAATTTTTGGTAATTTGATTATAGTCAATACGATGGTAATGCCTTTCTGCCAAGAGTTTTGGGTTTGAAACTGTCAAATCTTAACTGCCCCAGCTATGGATAAATAGCTGTGTGGAATGGACTCTGTTAGCCAAGAAATACAACTAGTTTTAGGGAGGAAATAAACCCCAAGTAAAAAACACCTCAACTACCAAAGTCTGAAGATAGCACTGAACAGCAGAAAACTTGGTGTGGGTTTAAAAGTTGTATTTTTGCTGGAATAAATCTAAAACATTAAAAAAAAACCACACAAATGAGTAATGTCAATTTTACGTAAGATGCAAAAACATAATATTATGTAGGCTATACTTAACATTGAAATGTAAAAATTGATTGATCAAACAACTTTAATCCAAAAAATTCTATTCTTTTTAAAAACCACCAATGCATTTTATGTTCTTTTTTTCTATTAACAGCTTATCATACCAAGAGCTACAGGAAAGCCAGTAAACCAAGAAAAAGTTGAGAAATATAGGGAGAAAGTTTCAACTATGTTGTCACAACTAGAATCCTATTTTTTGAAAAACCAAACCTACCTGGGAGGTGGCAATGAACTGTCAATAGCTGATTTACTTGGCGCATGTGAACTAATGCAGCTATATGCTTGTCATGAACAAGGCTTGTATGAAAAATCGCCCATAGTCAAGGCATGGTTAGATAGGGTGAAAAGGGAAACAAATCCTTATTTTGACGAGGCACATAAATTAGTGTATCGAACACATGATCTCTATAAGCAAATAAGCTCTAAGTTGTAAAGCAGATTCTGGGTACCAAAGTATAAGACTTGTTTATATGTCCGTATCAGCTTAGAAATTAAGCTGACTGTTAACGTCAGAAACATTATTTAAATAAGCCTGGTTAAATGGCAGATAGTAGACACTAAAAATTTGGGCAAATATTTGAGCGCTCTTAAAAAATTATGTTATTTCATTTGTTTAAATTTGACTTTGAAAATTATTTTTCACCTAGCTTTTGATTGATTCAAAAAACATTTAATACATTTTCGGGTAATTAAAGGAAATACACAACAGAAAGCAAAACTTCACTTCATTAAAATCACATAAGATATTTATTTTTAACTAACAGTTTAATTGATTTGATCAAATCACTTTCTTTGATGGCTTATATATTGTAGTACCTGAGAAATTTTTAACTGTATAATATTGTTTCCCTTGAATGAAGGGCATTGCTTACTTGTCTCAACCTTCTTATATCACTGAAAATGGGATCTTTCACTTCCTTTCATGCAGCCTGCATGCTGCTGTTTGATGCTAGTTTCAAAACGAAAGTGGGAAAAAAATTACATATATTGTGTACCATTTAAATTTTAATGTAATAATCTTTATTTTCATCGCTTCATTAAAAAAAAATCAATTTTGTTATTTATGTATTAAGTTCAATTCATTTTTTGTAAAAGTAAATATTTTTACTCAGTCTGTTGTTTAAAAACTGAAGAATTTTTGAATTTATTGTATATTATTAATCAGAATTCAGAGATTCTTCTTGATTTTATTAAATTACTATAATTTTGTAGTTTTTATCTATGAGCAAAATGTTTTCAAAGGTGTTAAACATCAAATCATGTCATCTCAGCATTTATTTCCTGGAGAAGTAATTGAAGATTATCAAACTTGAAATATACTTAATTTTCTTTTCAAAAATACTTGAAAAGATTTATCATTAATAGGGCTTGTCATTTAATGGGAGAAATCTATTAATAGAACTGATGTCATTATTACTCATCATCCGGGTACTCAGCGCGGACAAAATGTCAACACTGTTCAGTATTACTATGTTAGCGAAGTATCTTTGAAATTTGTTTACAACTCTATTTTACGAAATATTTTACATATTATTTTTTTTTACTTTTATTTTCTGAAATGCGACTTCATTGCTTGAACAGCAAATGTAACAGTAACTCGAGATACAAGGATCGTCCGAACTATATGCTGAAACACACTATAAGCTGCCATGTTTTAAGCAATATTTGTCCGCTGACCTTCTAAAAATAGTACCCTATGACGTTTTCCGGTCTAAGAAATGACAAAGCCTATTGAAATAGAAGCACAACTGTTCTGTTCTCCATGTTGAGTTACCTCCAGCTATGGGTGTTGGCAAGGGGAGAAAAGGGGAAGCACTTCCTGCCCACTCTGGATTTTAGATTATGCTTTGAACAATAAAATCTGTATAGAGATTTCAGTGTAGAGTTTTTATACAGTTTACAGGCACCCATTTGCCAGATGTTAATGTTTATTTTCAGTGGTTACAAAAATACATAGCGATAATATTTGAATTTATGTCATTGTTATTCCTGTGAATTTTAATGACTCAACATGGTCTGACGAATTTTGGAGAACATTTGCAAGTCCTTTTTTACCACTGGTTTTCTGAGAAGACTATTATATTATTGAGATCTTTTAACATAAGATTTTTTTTATTAGTATTTTTTGTGCGCCGTCATATTGTTTGCAAATTGTGTTTGTCTCCAACTTTTTGTTTCCTTATTAAATAGAAAACAGCTAAATTATATTTACTGTGCAGTACAGTGCAATGCATTTTTTCTTGTTGGATACTCCATATTGCTGAAGACCGAATTTAAGTAAGTATGTTCGTGTCTGATTAGATTTTATTTTAACCTGGAAAATGATATGTAAAGCTAAACATTAGTAAAGGAGATAAACTCAACAGGTTTTTCATTCATTAATGAAGAGATTTTATTAACAGAACAATCAGCAGAAATGGAAATAAAAAATCCAAAATACTGGTGAGGATACATTTTCAAATTTTAATTTTATATGCAAAATTCTTACTAGATAAGCTTGAAAAAACTGAAAAGTTAATTATATTTCTACCTATATTATATAGAACTGAACTATATGCGATGTACTTCTAATATAGCTTATGTGTATAAAACAGTATTATTATAGTATGTATCATTCGTCATTCATGTCTGCTTTCTATCCTCATTTATACAATTTTTAAAGTTTTGATTTCTTGTCAGTTGATGCTTTTATTTACTTTTTCCTTTTAAATTTTTTCACTTTATTCATAATAAAATAAGATTATCTGTCAGTTTTAATTAATTTATAAGTATAAAAGGAAATGTAACAATTAAATGTTTCTTTCCTTAATTAAAAAATAAATATTTAAAGCATATAAAAACAGAATGATTTAGCCCCTCAGAGCAAAACCTTTTAAAACAAAAATCACAGTTGTATCAATTGTTAACTCTTTGAACTCTTTGCCAAATACTACTACTAAATAAATTTAAAGAAAGAAATCAGCTATTTCATCATAATTTTACACAATATTTAATGAAAAAGTTTGCTGTACCTTTCTTTAAGATGCTCCATTTGCACATGTGTCAATTGACAGGTTGCTCACCCTGTTTGTAAATTGTAGCCTAAAACTGTATCTGATTTTATTTTAAAATTTATTCAATGTTTTGAAATTATACATTTTTAAATTACTTGTTTATTAAGTAATTTTATCTTATGTTCAGTTGAAAGACTGGAGGAAGAAATGACTAACTGTACCAGGACTGATGAACAGTGGCCTTGGAAGGAGGTGCAGAGGGGGCAGTCTGGCGGATGCACTTTTTTCCTTATACTTATATTGAGGGGTGGAATTTTCGTCCACCTGGAGAGTTTTCTCATGGGGGGGGGGGGAACTTGATAGGCCCCGGGTAGCACTGACCCTGGCTACTCCACAGGCGATAAGTATTTTTTAAAAACTACATAGACCACAAAAATCATTTTAACTGTTTTAATATTAAAAATAATATTTTCACTCAAAGATTTTAATTTTCTATATGGCTTTGGCATTGTGCCTTTTGATTTTACAGCCCTTGTCTTGTTTTACGTGCCTAATGTTTATAGCATATGTTGTGATACAGTTAGTACACTGATTAATTCAGGTAGTACACTAAGACACTGTTGGTGAGAAATTTTCTGCAGTGTAGGTTTTTTAAAATCGAGTGTAGATTCCCTTTACTAAAAATGATTTAATTAATTTAATTGTTAGAAAAAATGTTTGTCATAAAAACAATCACACTTGTAAAAACATTTTTGGTAAAGTCTATGCTGCTACTTCTTTAAAAAATATATTTAGAAGAAAAATATTTCACAAAGTTCAGGTGTCTGGAATTATATTAATGTCATAAAAATCTCCTTGAATTCCAACTTTTTAATTTATAAATAACATATCTCGTAAAAAAAAGTTCAAAATGCATGTGGCTGAGAAACCCAATGGAGCCATTCTTAAAAGCGAATGGAGCCATTCTTTTAAGAAATTGCATTAAAAAATCCCCCCCCCCCCGCCCCCTAAAAATAGTAAATTGCTGATTAAAATAAGCTGTCCTAATTATTCAGAGCTAGAGAAAATGCTGTACACTGGTCATAGGTGTTTGAGATATAGATTTTCTCACAGAGTTTTCCTTATTTTGATCACATAAATGCTTCCATTTATTTTTGACTCACATTTCCAAAATAGGATACATTTGTATAAAATTTGTAAACCAGGGATGTTTAGCCAAGTTGTGAAGCCAAATTCATTTTTAAAGCTTATCAGAAAGCTACTTAATTTCTATTACTTTAAACACTCTGCCTTATTTTAATAGTGTTTACACACTGCAACAAACACTTCACAGACAAGTGACCTTAAATAAAAGCTTTTAATATCTGTAAAGAAAAATATAAAATTGTATTTTTAATGTACAAATATTAAATATATGACAATGACAATGTTATAACTCAGATAATCAAAAAAATAAACATTTAAGAAAATAATGCATGAAATTTATTGAGATCAACAGTGTATATATATTTTTTTTACAAATTTCATTAATAAAAATTTGTGCGGGTTAGAAATTATACAATATAATTTAGCAGACCCAATTTTTGTATTTGATGATAATCAATATACAACTTATAAGCCTACAAATATAATAATTAAGGCTAAAAAAGCTAATAGAAGAAACTGAAACTTCTTAGATTAACATAAAAGTGTCAATGATAATAATCAGAACATATAAAGTGGTGTCTCAGTATATGTCCACTTTGGAATAAGTCCAACTTGGTTTACGTCCTGTTTGGTAGAGAAAAATTTTACTTGGTACAAGGCCTTTATTTGGAATACGGAATACGAACCCCGTGCATGCTGAGGAGAAGGCAAAAGCAAGGCTCTTTAGACAGATTTTTAGTAAGAGTCAAACCTGGTGAGCCTCAACCAGGGAAAAGAAACAGAAAAAAGAAAAAACAACAGAATGTCATATTCCTGAAGTTTTATCGGAGGCGGACTCTCCTTCAAAACAATAACATCTCCTCCTTCTCAGCACCATATTAGTAAGCACTTGACTCTTCTCACCAAGGTAAAGGGAGGTTAAATTTTCGTTTATTCACCTAAGTTCTTTTTATTTATGTATTTTAGTATTAAGCAGTGTTTAAATTATTTTATACAACCACGTCAATTAATGTATAATATGCCAACAACAATATGATTTTTTTTTCATGGGAACAGATTTATCATTTTCCCCTTTGGTATGCATCCTGTTTGGTATAAGTCCAAGGATCTGGAAGGGATTAAGGACGTATACCAAGGTGCCACTGTACTAGTTTATATAATTAATAGTTAGTTTTTTTAAGTCTTCAGATTGGGTCTCATAAAAGTAAAAAAGTATAATTCAATTTTAAATAGTTGATTTAATTTTTAAATGTAATTTTAAATGGAAATGCCTATTGTAATCATACATTTGAGTTAATTCATAATATTTCATAATTTATTACTATATTAAATTACTACTTGGGATACTGGGATTCACTGGGAGTAAGTCTAAACAATTTGTATGATGATAACTGGGTCAAGTAATAAAAGCAAGTGCTACTCTGTCACCCAAACATTTAAACCCTGCTTTTAGACAGGGAAATTATATAACTTATAACTGATTGCAACTTTTATCCTACAACTTGAATCTTTTGAGGCCTAAACAGTTTGCAGAATAGAAATTCTATATTCCAGAATGGCAGCACAGAGACCTTTTTTTTTTCCTGCTCTCCCCACTAAAACCTGATGTGGGGTTTATTAAACATTTCTAGGTGCTCAGGTGGGATAGGTTGAAAATGGTTGGTAAACATTGGCTGCTCCCCTACCTGCTTACATTGCTGATACATGTATTTCAATGTCACTATAACTATAATACATAAATTGATTTGATTTTGCTTCTTTTCCCAACCCTCAAAAATCTGTTGAAAAATACTTTAAAAATTAATAATATTGATCCATGTTCATTGTGTAAACACTGATGATGTTGTTACAGAAAAGGGGGAGGGTATGAGGGACATGATAACATGCTAAGAGTCTTGAAAAAAAATATTTTTTTTTGTAACTGGTTTAAATCCCATAAGACTTGCAATATTTTATTGAAATTATCTAGATTGACATTACTTATTGGGACTTATCTAGGGAATATTTTCAGAATCAAGGCAGATCAATCGGTCATAAAAGATTACCGATTAATCTGCAAAATGGCAGATTAGGCTGATTATCAATTATTTGCTGATTAATCTGTGGAATCCTACTAAATACCACTATTTTCTCATGACCAGCAATCTATGCTAGACTATAACACATTTTTATTAAACAGTTACCAAATATAATTCTCTTACTGGTAGTAGGCAAACAATATAAATTATAATTTTTGTCAAATATGATCACAGTGAGTTTTTATAAAAAATAAAGTGGCAATGTATGGATAAAATTATAACATTTAAAACATTTTCTTATTAAAAAAATCACAATTGGGTAGTATTACTGTTATTTATAAGTTATTAAGAATACATAATTGCATAGGTATGCTTTTAGCCCATCGTCTTTCAAATCAAAAGTATTGGTAAGTCTATACTGGGTAACCTTATTATATTTGGGACCTTTCTTCAGTTCAATGTACTGTAGGTGCTCCATAAACTGAAATGACAACATTTCATTTATAGAATAATACTATATTTCTTTATGAAAATTCAAACAAATGCATACATTTAACATTTATAAATTTAAAATAATCACTTTAAATTTTAAAATAATAATTCCTTCAAAAAGAACCTACACTTAAAGTCAACCAATAAATACAAATCTGATATTTTTTCTATTTGTCTAGTCACTAGCAAATTTGGAAATTTGTAGTCCTACAAGAACTAAGTAAATGGAACATTCATATTTTAGAAATCAATGAGATTTTTAAACAAATATTTTATAAAATGCTTGTTTAAGAAAGTTAATACCCTACTCAGGCTACAGACCTCTGCTTAAAAACATCATCATTTTCATGCCTTTTTATTATCTCCTTGACATTGGGAGGGGGGTTCATGCCATGTTTCTCTGCTCTCTCCCATCTCTCCATTCGTGTAATGCCTGACAAAACAGATAAAATATATTTGGTAAAATTGCTTTAAATAAATGGGGGTTGACTGCACTAAATTCAAAATGACATGTTAAAGCGGCCATGAAGTACGCAAATCAAGCTTGTTAGCTAATTATAATGGGGTTATCTCTTTGGAAAAGATCATTTAATTCAAGGGCATGAGCTAAAATTATAAAACTTAGACATTTCTATAAAAAAGTATTGATATATATGTTCATTGTGTGATACATTTTTCACATTGGTGAAGGCAAGAGAGGAAATTAGACCTCTGAACAGGGAATGAATGATTTTATTATTTTATTAGATTTAATTTTATATTTAATTTGGGGTTCCAAAAAGGATCATAAACATTTATGTTCAGTGGGGAAAAAAATGAATAAAAAAGATATTTAAAATAAAACCTCTTAAAACAAAATAAATAAAACAAGGACATCTGTTTTATTGTTAGTTATTTCACCTAATGAGGAGTGGCTTATGCTTACCTGGTGATTAAATTCAAAAAATGTAATGAAGTAACTACATTTTTACTGTCAAAATATACAAAAAGGCAACTCCAGTGTGAAAGAAAGAGCCATAAAGCCTTTGTCCGGCCACTTTTAGATTATGCATCTTCAGTCTGGGACCCATTTACCCAGTATAGGAACTGCAGACCTGTTTACCCTCAAACTCTTAAAATCGTACAATATCATCACAAAATCGTTTAATACATTATCTTAAGTTAAAAAATAAACATACAGTATATATAATGTGCACACCTCAAAATCGTACATTGTACACCAAAATTGTAAGAGTAAACAGGTCTGGAACTGCTCATTCCTGCCAAAGACAATAAGGGACTGGAACAAGCTTCCAAAAGGAACAGTTGAGGCGACAAAACTTGACACATTTGCGTCTATTGCTTCAGGCCTTCCAACCAGTGACATATCCTCATCAACACCAGGCACAGAAACATTGCAAATCCCCTCTACATGCATAGGAGCCAGAATGATCAATAAATTGATCGTGGGCCCTTAATATATAGAAGAAGAAGAAGGTTGGCAGTGAGTTAAGTGAGTGACAAAATAGCATGAATGAAAACAAGGCTTTAGAGGGGGTTTTCTAACCTAAGATGCGAGATTGCATTTTACAGGAGAAGGCCACTGCAATGATAATTAAAAAATTATCAACATAAATTTTTTAATTTATTGTTAATTTTTTTTTTTTTTTTTTTTTTTTTTTTGGGGGGGGGGGGGGGGGGAATCAGTCAAATAATTCTTATGAATGGCTGCAAAATATAAAAAAGGTTGGGAAACCCTGAAAAGAGTAGGCTTATATTATGTTGAATAACTTGTGTAACTAATGCTTACCAATGCATGGGCCGTATTCTAAAGTTAGGTCAAAGGCTTTTAGTAAGTCTAAATCTGTCTTAGACTTAGAGTGAGAATCACCTTCATTTTTATCTGTGTTTGGTTTAACGAACTCTGAAATTATTGATAAAATTGAAATATATGAAGTGAATATTCTAACAGATAATTAATTAAGTCACAAGTTTCAAATGAATATCACCAGATTTGGCAATGATCATTCAAACTCCTTTAAACAAAAATGAGGGTCGTTTAATGTTCAGTGACTCATCCATACCTGCTCCCCTCAAAATGTTATCGCCAAAAATATATTCTTCTACTTAAAAAATCATAATAATATATACTCCTTGCTGACCCTGATACTAACAGGGTATTCTCTTCCCCTCCCCTCCACTTATTGTGTTCAGACGGGATAAAAATCTATGTGATCTTCTGTTTCACAGTAGCCTTCCAGTCGATCCTTCTCACGTTGCGACTAAGTCTAAGCCATGTTCAAGAAGCCTTTGTAGGACTTTCCCCTGTGCACTGGAAACTGAAAACGTAACTTCCCTCAGGCCTAAGGGGACCTTTAAGAATATTTAAGATTAAAGAGGGCTTCACATGTATCAGTAAAAATGTTGTTGTTTTTGTGTGTCAAAGATGCTGCTCCTCTTATATAATATAGGCATAGGTGAAAAATGAACAAAGCTATCTGATAAGTTCAGAATCAGAACATCTTAGAAATATTGAACCATACAAGCCATTCCTGGTTTCAACCCATTTCAATGGAGGCAAATACAGGAGCAGATCAGATTCAGTTAGATGTGTCCATCACGGCTCTTATTTCCTGCACTAATAGTACTAATACTAATATATTTTACATACCAGCAACTTGGCAAGAGTGAAGAATCAAAACAAATTAATTTAGATTTTTGGTACCATTCCATATCCCCATTTGCTATTTGGAATCAAGTTCAAGTAAAAACTCTTTTACTTTTATTGGTGATCCTCACTTTCTCTCACTCCATGTCACATTTCATTATAATTCTATATTCTACTCTTAATTTAGGGTTCATAATTTTTATAATTGTTAAGATTTTAATTTATGAAAATTCACAATGAATTAATAATTAAGTATAGTATAACTATAACTACCATTACTATCATTCAGTTTCAGAATTCAGTCTGTCAAAATCAAAAGCAAATATACAATATAATAGTAATAGTAATAGTAATAGCAATACTAGTACTAGTAATAGAAATATAATTGATAATTAATAATATAATAATAATAGTCTACTAATTTACTACTAATACCCTAATTTATATCAATTTCATTGAAGATATTATTGAATTGATTGATAGTTGACAAAGTTTGAGTAGTAAAGTTAAGTATTACTACTAAATATTACTAATACAATCAGTTCAGTGTAAAGTAAATGACATGGACATGATGATTAAAATTAAAGTTAAAGTTAAAGTAAGTAAAAATTGAAAAAAAATTCACCTTCTTTAATCCTTCTTTGATTAAATCGTTTTCTTTCAGGAAAAGAATTAGTTAATTGACGCGATTCCATTTTCCAATTTACCCACTTACCAAACACTTAAACCTAAATCATTACGAAATAGCAATTTCTTTTCAACTAAATTGTTCAATTAATTAATAATATGCAGGCAGCATAGCTACGAACTTTATTATATATATTTTTTTTGTTGTAATTTCCGCGAAGCAGCTTGGGGAAAGTTTAGAAAACATAATTTAGTTTTTCCGCGAACCACGGAAGCAAATGCTCTTTCGCAAAGGAGATAAATTGTAATTTCGTGGCCTCCGTGTTCACAAATCTGCAGACCCTTTCCGGTCCTTTACATTTATCAACATGGCACCGAAAGCCAAGAAACCTGCAGCCAGTTAGTGATTTTTATTATTTTTGCTTATTAACGACTTGATTTGACATTATTTTGATTTTTTTCATCATATATTTAATATCATATGAAAGGATAACTGTATTAAATATATCTATACTTTGAAATGTGAATAAAAAAGCCTTACAATAGTTTTTCTTGCTAGCCAGCCAATTTTCGATAATATTGAACGCATGTAAACTAACCTAGGACCTAGCTGTTTCTTTTAAAAAATTATTCCTGTTTGGCCTGAGCAGATTTCAGTTATTTCTCTGTGTATTGTCATGGAGAAAGATATTCGTGAATTTTATTTTGTCTTTAAAGCCTAGGGTCAATTCATTACGTCGGGTAAAATTTAGGAGGGATGCCAAGGCGTCTTTTGTGTGTTAATTATTTATAGTTGCAGTGGATTAGGCAGTAATTTAGGGTTTAGGTTAGGTTGAGGAATCGATTTAGGGTTCAGGTTAGGCATAGGGATCGATTTATGGTTCAGGTTAGGCATAGGGATCGATTTAGGGATACATTTGTTAAATTCGATAAAATAGTGGCATTCCTATTAAAAATTTACCCAATATTCACACTGTCATTCTACAAAGCCCAAGGTTCCCTTTTCTAAACTTTTCAGCCAATTTTGAAATTGACCTGAGCATTTTTTTAAATTGCAGAGCCTGCAGCTAAAGAAGAAAAGAAGCCTGCTGCTAAAGAGGAAAAGAAACCTGCAGCAAAAGACGTTAGCAAAAAACCTGCAGCAAAGAAACCTGAAGTCAAGAAGTCGGCAGCACCTCCGAAAGTTGTCGCTGGTGTGGTCAAAGCTAAAGAAAAGGCATTAAAAGCTAAAAAGGCAGTAGTCCGTGGCAAACATGATAAAAAGAGTCGTAAAATAAGAACATCTGTTCATTTTCGTCGGCCGAAAACCTTGAACCTACAAAGGGCCCCTAAATATCCCCGCAAGAGTGTCAACAAAACTAACAAGTAAGTAAAACAAACTTTGCAACTCGCTTCAATTAGCATTTTTTTTTTTCTTCGCTGCTGCTATTTTATACATAACTTTGGGCTTGGGAACAAAAGGGAGATTACTGCTTAACATGTTTTGAAAATTAGAATGAATTTAGATTTAAATCTGAATATTTGAGGTTTAAAAACCTGGTAGTCCATATTATAATAAATTAACACAATTTTCAGTGTGCAAAGTCTCAGAATTTTCTTTCATTCATACAAGTTTGCCGTGTTCAAATTGATCTTCTGAGTAGGGCAGACCTCTCCCCCACTTTAAATACCAAAATAAGAAGCAACGAAATCCTCAGAGGGTCTTTTTAGGATACCTTGTACTAGTAATTTTAACTGACATTTTCTTTTAAACCATCACTTAGGTCCTGTATTGTCACATTTCTTTTCATTTCAAGAAGGTAACTCAGACATACAGACTCTGGTAGGAATCTTGGTTATATTCTTTCTAACAACATGGCTCTCGATAAACATATATCTCACATTTGGCATACACCGCTATCCCTCAGATTAGCACCTTCTGCCACTACCTCACAGTTAGGCAACAAAAACCCTAGTCTGTGCTCTTGTTCTCTCTCATCTTGACTATTGCAAGTCTTATGTCGGGTTCACCAAAACACTTCTTAGAAACATTACAAAAGGTTCAAAACTTAGCTGCTAGGCTAGTTCTAAAAGCAAAGAAACTAGATTTGTCATCCCACTTCTTCATTCACTTCATTTGCTCCATGTACATGTACAGTACTTTCTGTTCTCTGCCACAACTTTTACTTGAATTCATGCCCTTCCTATCTAACTGAACTTCTCTGTCTATTCACTCCTTTGACAGCTTTGCTCCTCCGTGGATGCACATATCCTTTCTGTCCCCAAGATTCGCACAAAAGCATACAGTGGGCGATATTTCTCTTTCTGTGCCCCCCAATGGAATTCTCTTTCACTGTGCATCCGCTATATAAAATTACTACTAATAATAATATCATCTTCACCATTAAGGTATGTTCCTAATTTGAGGCTTATACTATTTTGATTGCTTTCCAGACTTGACCAGTATGCTTTGATTAAGTACCCACTTACCACTGAGTCAGCCATGAAGAAGATAGAAGACAACAACACCCTGGTCTTTATTGTTGACAAGCGTGCTAATAAACCAATGATCAAGATGGCCGTCAAGAAACTTTATGACATTGATGTTTCTAAAGTCAACACACTTATTAGGTTTGTTTTAGCGTTAATTATAGATGGTATACCCTTTAGTAGAGGGTTTGGTAAAAGGCAACTACTTCTAACTTTACATGTGAAATCATGCTTGGCGCATAAAAATTCTCATGGGGTTAGTTTGTATTAACACTCAACACCCACAATTTGTCCCAGGAAAATGTTGCGTTACATAGACCATGGATGTGTTGGGCTACTATTAATTTATAATATTAAATCTTGCCTATTTATTCAAATGGGATATCATTACTTCTCAATATAAAAATCGTTAAATTATTGTTAAAGCAAGTTGCTGGGTCCCAAAATTTGGAGAATTGATCCATAGTAATATAGAACTAACAATCTCGAACTTAAAAAATTCATGGCTCAGTTGATTTAGGTTCATTTTTAAAACTGAAATAAATATGCTAATAAAATTATTTTTTTTTACAGACCTGATTGTGAGAAAAAAGCATATGTTCACCTAGCTTCCGACTATGATGCATTGGATGTAGCTAACAAGGTAGGAATTTTGTGGATGCAGCAGTGGAGCTCCTTTTTTAACATGAATAGATTATATGGCCATTACAAAGGGGCAACTTTTTTTTGTTATAGTTTACGGGCTGCATATCTCTTAATAATACTTTATATTATGTTAAATTCCATTAGATTATGATGGTAGTCCTGAAAGTAGAAAAGCTATATAATTTGTAAAGCGCATATTTATGGATAGCTGGTGAAATAACATTGGAGCTAGTTATGGCTCTATTTATAGTGTTGGGGCTGAATTTTACAGTGAGAAACTCATTTCTTATTTCTTTAAAAATAACTTCCCTTGTGCTGTGTCAAGAATACTGTGTTCATTGTGCATAACTATATATTAATATGCTTGTAATGCTTTTTTTTCGAAAGTTAACATTTATTTTCATTTTTTTTTTTCAGATTGGCATCATCTAATTACAGTTTGTTTTTATTGTAATAAATAGTTCGAAAGAATATATGTTTGTAGTTGTCTTTTTTTTTTTTAAATTTTTAGAATGTTTAACATGTAAAGTAGCTGAGGAAAGCATTTTGGTGTTTATGACCCTCATTAGTTAAAAGTCTAAGAAGTGTTGTTGGCCCTTGGGCTTATGCTATGATGCATCCCATAGTTCTCACAGGGGTGGCAATATTCACTACGATTTATTTTCTAATATCCTGGGGAAAATTACTGGCCACTAGTATTATTAGTGTCACAAATTTGTTCTAGCAATTTTTTATTACCAGTACCAGGTAATTAAAATGAATTTGATTAAATGAAATGGAAAGATTTTTCAGTGCAGTGAATGACTCTTCCTTAAGTTTGATAGTTCATGGAGAAAATCGGTACTGTTCGATTCAACTCGGGTTTTTTTTGTTTTTTTTTATGATCATAATCATAGCATTTTTTTTCGTACAGAAGGGTTCCGGTACCGGTTGTTAAAAGTTTGTACATTAAGGGCAAATGCAAAGAATGACACAGTGCATTTAGCAGTTTGTAGTGCTGAAACCAGCCTTTATTCATTATTGTGGAAACTATGATTCAACTCGAAATGAATTGGGGGTTTTTATGATTCATTCGTACAGTTAGGTACCGGTAGAAAGTATATTCATAAAGGACATCTGCAAATACAAAGAATGGCACAGTGCATTTAGTAGTTTGTAGTATTACACACCTCCTTCCACTTGGAACAATCGGATTAGGTTTTGTTAGTGAGAACTTATTGTGAGTAATACCAGTAGCTTGGAAATGAACTGTCATAATTCTTAACCATAAAATCGTTTTTTCGCATAAATCTTATATGGGGGTGGGGCTTAAAATTTTGTACAAAACATGCATACAAGTTTACAAGTACGGTGCTGTTAATGCATGCACCACTCCAAGCTTGCAAACACACATTTTTCCCGTCCCTGAACTATATTAATATGGTACAGTATTCTCATGGCACAGCAGCTATTTACACCGCAGATTTATTTCACGACCTATTTTCAGCAAATATCCGGGTACAGGAAAATATTACACATCAAACAAGCTTGCTGTATTTTTTTTTTTAATCTCATTTAGATTTAGAGTACCGGTAGTTATCTGGTTATCTGGATTTTTATTTTGTGATATCAGTCAGTTTCATTATCTTTCATTCATCTTCGCCTTGAAAAAGGGTGATTGTTGATAATAGAATGTCTTATTACCGGTACTTATTGGCAATGAGTCTGTGCCAAGTTTTAGTATGATAGGTTGACATAACTTAGACCGGTACTTAGTGATCCGAAGATTTTGCCAGTCCGCCAGCCACAAACAATAGCTAAGTTAATATAAAGGATTTAATCAAACTTGCATTTATTTATTTATTTAACTTTAAATAAAAATAAAATAGACAGTCTCAATCACCAGCACCCCTTTTTAATATTACATTGGAATGGTTCCAAGTCAAGGCATCGAATTTTACAACAGCTCACTCGTGCAGGCCCTTTTTTACAAGTTTACTACAGTTCTTTTTCTTTGAAGATTATCAGGTAGACATTTAAAAAAAAAAATATTAACAAATACCGGTAACAAAAGTAATGGTCTTGTACAATAACTTAAACAAATTATGGGAATGAATAATCAACTTGAGGCAAAACTCTTTGTACCAGGTACCTGTACTGGTAACAGTAACAATTGATTGATTTATTATTTTTTAACATTCCAAAGCAGCCCTAAACTGCATTTCTATTGCTTGATTAAACTTAAATTATGAAAACAAATCAATGAGAATATAATATATTTCTTCATTATTCATGGAGTCAGCCAAATATTCCATGTCCAATCCTCTGCTTGATAAAGCCTCCACATGTAGAAAACATTAACTGCCATTATCTGAACAAGTCTGCTGATTAGTAACTGTGATGGCCATATGCCTTCAGTAGCATTTAATAGCCATGTATCGGATGATGTTTGCCCACTCCAGTCTTCTAGAAAATGTCCTGTAAACTGTGTTAGCATAAAGATGATTGAAATTTTCAATAATGCTGGTGATTTCCATGGAGAGTCAGTATCCTCTTCAAAATCCTTGACTGTTAAAATTTCATCCTAAATCAGATACAGAAATAAAAAATTAAAACTGATTCAACATTTAAAATATACTCGTTGCATTGACTACTGGTATCGGTACCGTTGGTATGGTACTGGTACATCAGTGTAACAAATAAAGGATGAAGTTAAAAATTCTTTTAACAATTTAAATTTTATTGTTGTAGGTAACAGTACTCTTAGTCTTAAGTGGAGCAAGAACTGCAGAGCAATTTTGAAATTGAAATGAATTTACTAACTAGAATTATAGTTGTCAATTTAAATAGGTTCTTTATCAAATTAAGTCAAGTAAAGCTTTATTTAGTTCATGAGTGGATAATACCAGTGCAACTACTACACTCAAAAAAATTTTTTTCCTTTACTATGGTATTCAAATCTTTGACAATGTGGGTGTTCAGCTCTGGTAACAATAGCAAATTGTGTAAAAAATAGTTCAACTCAAGATACCAGGTACCGGTATTGAAAATGTGTCTTTGACATTGCACCTCCTTTGGATAAACTGTTCACAAATGTTTTCATGGACCTCATTAATGTATATAAGTTTGGTTACCCCACCAACATTAGTTACAATGTCTTAATTTAAATTCATTTTTTTAAATTATAAAGGGAAATATGAAACTTTTCCCTTTGAGCAGAAATTTTATGTTGAAATTTATGTTGACACATGTCATATCAAATGGAGGCCATTGTTTAGTAGAAGAAAGTAAGGTACCCTACCAATACTACCATTTACTACCAAACCATGTGATGCAGTGGTTTACATTAACTCAGTAGCAGTGGAAATAAAATCACCAATGAGGGGCCATCTGTATATTAATATTACACACACACTAAGGGGGATTTTGCATATGGGAGAGGTCTTTGCAGAATGGGTTTATACATTTATGTACTGGTACAAATTCTACAATAATTATTCTGATAGTCTATCTCCGTAAAATCTGATTTTATTTTTAGTAGTAATACTATTAGTATTGTTGTAAATTAAATACAAATGAAATATTGGTACCAGTATTAAAGTTTAAAATAAACGATCGACTTATTTATACTAATTTATTTAGATTTTTAAAAATATTCTGATAAATTGAGGGGGAGGTTCAGAAGCTCATTTGAAAAGAGTTCCGAAAGATTGGTAAGAATGATAATGATACCTCATCAAGATACCAAAGAAAGGGGATCTCAGCAATAGTGCAAATACAGAGGAATTACACTGCTGTCTGTACCAGGAAAGGTCTTTAACTTTTAACAGAAATATTTTGAACTGAATGAAAGACCAGGTCGACATGCAGTTACGAGAACAATGGGCTGGCTTCCAGTCCACCAAAACAGATCATGCACAGATCAAATTGCAACACTAAGAATTATTGTATTGAATTATTGTTCATTGAATGGAACTCCCCCTATAGGTATATAAATTTTAACAACTACGAAAAGGCCTTTGATAGTCTGTGACGATAAACCTTGTGGAAACTTCTTAGGCACCAGCCACTGGTCAGGATCATTCAGAAGAAATGAAATGCAAAGTGGTCTCACAGGTGCCTTTAATTTATTTTAAAGTGGAAACTGTAGTGAGACAAGGATGTCTCTTGTCCCCCTTCCTATTCATCCTCACCATTGACCGGATAATGAAAAAATACACAGACAAAAAGAGGAATGGGATACAGTGGACACTCTGGAAACAACTAAATCAGCTAGACTTTGCAGATGACATTGCACTTCTGTCCTACAACCAGCAACAAATGCAGGAAAAGACAAAAGAAGTAGCCACCATCTCAGCACAACTTGGACTCACTATAAATTCTATAAATAAAAGCCAGACAAAGATTCTTGTTCTTTTTTTCCTCTTTTTTTTTGTGGGGGGGGGGGGGATGTCCATAAGTTCATGGTACATTTGCATAGAGGAGGGGTCCAAACAGTATTAGTGTAACAGGGAGGGAGGGGCGGTGTTAAACTTACATTTTTTTTTTTGCGTACCGTATACACCATTTCACACATATGGGTTCTCCCAAATTAAATTGTCATTCATAGTATTGGTACCTTATTCTGTACTGGGTATCTATAAACTATTTGTGTTTGAGGATGTAATTATTGTAATTAAAAACTTACCTCGTCTTGAAAAAAATTTCTTGTGACTTTTTTCACAATAAATAAAATACTATACAGACGAATTGCAAATAGCCCAAGGAAGAGTGGCGTGAAAAATCTTTTCAGGAAGCTGATTGCTCGTTGAGCATTATCTGTAATAGGATTTTTATCTGTAATTTGCAGTGGAGCTTTACTACCAGTATCTTAAATCTAAAATATATTGGATTAATGCAGTTACCTTTAAATTTGTAAGACTTGTTTGGCTTTTTCTTTTCATTGTTTTGGGTTTACAAACAATACAGTACCAGTACAAAATATGTTTATGAATGAAGAACATTTGTATATTTCCCATGTCCCAAATAAGAGAGATTTTAGTATGATACTTGCCTAACTTCATAAAGATAATAGATGTGATTATGTTGATGACACTTTGTTTAGTTTGAAAGCTTCTGAAATATAAAAAAAATGTATACTGGGTACATGCCACTTAAATTAATAGTAATATTTAAAAAAAACTTTTCATACAAAATGAGTATTTCATGTGCATTAATCATATAAATAACTGAATAAGTACGTACTGTTTCCAAGTTAAAGGCTCTACAAGAGGGGAACTGATTTGTTCAGTTTCTGTGTACATGGTATATAATACTGCAACATTTACAAGGCAAGTAAAGGCACAGTCACTGATGATACCTGAAAT